ATACAAGGCATACGCCGACCGAGCTTTTGGTGCATTGAGGTGGGCAATCTGTCTTCGCCGCTTGCGCACACTCATGATTGTCTGATCATTGTCTGTCAAAGCCGTTTTTTTCACCGGCATCTAATAGGAAAAACGCGGCCGTCGAACAGCATTTGGACCACGTTGCTGCAGATTCAGAAGCTAGCAAAGTGTCAACAGATTCAGAAATCGTGAGCTGAGAATCGAACCTGCAAAAGGATCAGGACCAAGTCAGGACGGACAGGTCAGGCCTCGGAATCGACGCATCTCGAGCAAAAAACTCTGCAGTATCTTGCTCTCTTTCCCAGCTCTGCTGCCAACACCCTGCCATTCAAACTGCTGTGAGTACTAGGTCTCCGGACAGTGTTGTGAACTTGATGACTCCAAGCTCTGCCGTGAAGCTAGCTTGCACTAGCTTGCGCACACGACGGCTAAACGGTATCAGGCCCTGTCCCTAAGAGATGTCAATGTGCATGTGGTAAACGATTTTGTCACATCTTGCTTGTTGTGTCTGACACTGCATGCACTTCTACGGGCCCGAAAAGCGCTCAAGCAGGACACATTGTAGGCAGCTACAGTCCAAAAAAATAAAAAAGATTTAAAGGCTACAACTAAGCAGCTAGGCAAGCACACCAAATTATTTTTGCTCTGGCACACGTACCCCTCCACCTGCCAAATAATTTCCAATACACCCTGCATCATACCTTCTTCCACGGGTTATTGTTATTCTATGTCATTCAGTGTTGAACAAAAATAGAAACAATATATCAACATAATGTTTTATTTTTTTGCAACATGCCATACCTTTTTTTTTCTACATGGTAGATATTACTTTGACCCACCACCTACATACCTACATGCCTTTCCAAATAATACTTTATGGATATTATTTCAAAAACAATATTTGGAGAGGAGACGGTCACCTCAAAATAATTTAGGTCGGGCAAGGCCTATATGAATATAAGGACGAAATTGGTTGTGTAGCCTAAGGATATCCTCAGATATGGTGGCCTCCTACCCAGGTTCCAAAAAAGTCTGGACTGCCAGAAACGACATTTCGACGACATGGGCTCCTTGACCAAATCGACATTAGCTTCTTATTACCCAGACACTCCATGTATATATGGCATATTTACCTATACATTGACCCCTCTGGCACCACCCCAATGTAGGTAAATATGCCAGTTCCATGGAGTGTTTGGGTTAGGTGCCTTCTTTTCCAGCGCTTTTGCAGCTCTCATGCACCTCCCAGTGCATGGGGCCCCCCCTCTCGGCGCTCGCGCCCTTCACCTCTTCCGGCCGAGCGGCGCCGATGAGGTCGATCGCGGTGCCCAGGTTCCTCGAGCCAAACGGACTTGGGCGTGGTCTTCGAATCCATTGGTGGGGACAAAATAATCAGACCCAAACGGACTGGAATATGATGGAATATACATGTATATACCTGGGGTGGTTTCAGAGGTCAATGGTTTAAACAAATCCAGTTTTAACACTTCCGTGTTTAGGTCCCAGGTTATTGAAATGCTTTGGATGGATGTTGGATCTGGCAAACTCTGAGAAAACTATGCAACATGTCTGCAGCGCTGAGATTTTTCCAAGACCAACAAAAATTGCAGAAAGGAAGAGTCACGGGTCAATTCTCAGCGTCCAAGTGGTCCGTCCGCGCCGGGGGAGGCGGGGGGAGGGGGGGGGAGGGGGTGTTTTGCCTCAGGACACCTCTCTTTGAAGCCTAGGCATGTGACTTGGAAAAAGGGCGGATCGTGGCCAAGCCGCCGCCGCCCAGCAGCCCAAACACGACGGGACAGGAAATACTTACATTGAGTTGGGGTCCATACGTTGGGTCCGAAGAAAACAGAGTTGGAATATCAAACACTGCACGGAGGTTACATTGAGCTCTAGAGGCAGTTTTCGCTGTCTTTGACGATCGGTGGCTTCGCCAGCGCCGAAATCATTCGAGACATGTGCACATCGATGTGATGTGTGACATGTGGGCGTTCATCCAGCCTGACATGGACAACATGTGTTTGTGCCCAATCTCGTGGCGGTATACTCAAGGAACGACGTTTGGAGCACATGTGGCACAGGTGGCCCGTGATTCACAGTGATGAGGACGACATGAGGACGACCAAGTCGCTGCAACATCGGCATGAAGATGCATGAACGTGGCCCCTGTGGTGATCTGGGCCCACGTGTGGCGTCCTCTTCGCCGCGCGCAGGCGGTCAAGAGCCTATTCCGTGCAGGCTAGTTTTCCTCTCACCAATCCTCCGGACCATTCCGGACCCACATGGGACCAACAGTCCTGTTTTGGCCCAGCACTCGACTTGCTTGCTCCTGGCCGAGGCAAACAGCGCCTAGCTTGACAGACAGTCACGTATACTACACCTGATCTGGACCGCCGAAGCTCAAGAACATGAAGGTGTATCTTCGCTGGGTTTCATTTGCTTTGCTACTGGTACTCTCCCTCAGTTTCCCTGGAAAATAAAGCTTAATGAAACCTTTGTCCGCCTCTTCTTGTTGATAGTGGGGTGTCCCACAATCCCTCAAGATTGCTTTTTGTTTGGAGGTGATCCATGGCGATCGGGTGTCACTGCACTTGCGATCGGGTCCTGTTCGCAAACAGAACTGCAAAAGGCCACTGCTGGGGGAAAAAAACCTATCTATAACCGAATCCGTCCAAACCAGCACCACCGAAAGGATGTCCATTGATAGCCCCTGTGGAAACAGGTCAGGGAGTGTCCATGAACCACCCCTTTGGGGGGTGCTGGAAGGCGGCTTTTCAGCTAAGGACGCTAGCTAAGTGTGTTCTTTTTCCAGGTATTTTGAACGGATCGATCATGATCGTTGAGTCTATAGTTATAAACCCAACTGCCTCGACCCAACTACGTTGTTCACATGAAACACGTGGCACCTGCACCGGCGCCCAGAAAAAGCCGTGCCCCTCCAATCCATGCACCTTCGAAGCCAAGTCCGTCAGGATTCGGTGTCTTCTTTCCCAAGCAAATCTACCTACTCAAGGGATCTGAGACGGGGCTATTGCAAGGGCTTTGGGAAGCTCCCCTTCAGGTTGGCTCGGGGTAGACGCGGAGGACGCAGGTTGCCCCGGTCCCGTCCTTGTTCATCTGCGCAAGCATCGCGTCGCCCGCGTCGCCCGCGGTCGCCAGGCGATCGGAGAACAGGTCGTGCCCTTGGGGCGGTGCCTGCGGTGCCTGCGCCGTGAGGGTCGTGGTGTTGGGGGCCCAGTTCGACGAACGAAGCGTGGAACCATCGCATGAAGATCGTGATCCGGTCTCGGTTTCTACGGTTTCTGTACCTCAGGCACTCTTGGGGTGGGAAAAAAAAAACATGAAACGCATGGAAAGAGTGTCTGGGAAGCGACCGACATTTGGATACAATTTGGTTTCATTGGCTGCAGGGTGAAAGAAATTGAAGACTTGGCTATGGCGATGGTTCATGCCACGTGCGGAATGGTTCCATTAACCCCAGTACTAGGACATTGCGAATACCACCCAAGTTCAAGAGATCTTCCTTGAAATCGTCCACTCCCTCGGCCGCCAGCGGCCAGAGCTAGCTAGCTTCGTACCTCTGAACCCCCGGCTTTGTGATCGAAGCACGTTCTGAGAGGAAAACCACTGAACCCCAGGATGCCAAGGCTGTGGTGCGTTCACCCAAACGCGGTCTTTTGGCCCCCGGGTTCTTCCGGTCACCTTCGGTCATCTTCGCTCCTGTTTCAGGTCACGTTTCGACCACGGAACCCATGGACCCGTGACGCGCCGTGACGCGCGGTACTGAAACGACTCAGCGACCGCTTGGAGACTTGGAACAGCGTTCAGATTCTGGACGTCGAATGAAGACCAAAAGCGCGCCCCGATTTGTAGCCGTCCATCAGTTCGAAGTATGAGAACATCTGATCGAATGACTTGCCAAGTTCAGGATTCAAAGACTCCATGGGACTGTAACTATGCCTAAATTGACCCTTAAGTTCATTTGCTTCACTATTCTCTATTCATTCTCTCACCATCGTCCCACCATGCTCCCGTCTTCCACCTCAGGAGAGAATCCCCCATCCTGGCGCAAGACGCAAGCCGCAAGATGCGGGAGAATGCGAGTCTTTCTTTTGGGAAGCGTTCTATGCTGTTCTCAGAGTTCTCGTTTGGCGTTTTAAAGAAATCGAATCGTATAGAGTATAGAGCCCAACAGCTATACCAAGCAGCCTGGAGCAGCAAATCATCTGCAACAAATCCAGTGAAAAAGAACCTGAAATAAAACCTGAACGGAGGCCCCTGGAAGACCGGACCAATGGTCAAGTTCCATGATTGGAGGGAGGGTAGCTTCCGGTCCGATGCAAATCCTGTAGGCAACACCGGGAGGCGAAGCGGTTTTCGGCGGGAAAGGAAAAAAAACACGTGGACTTTTGGGGAGGAAAAAATCACAAGCTGAGGGAACCTGTGTGTTTTCATTCTGTCGATCTGAAGCAGAGTCCGTCTTGTACCTCATATTGAAATACTATTTTGATCGACAAAGCACACACACATCAGACACACATCACACACATTGCCCTTCTCACCCTTCCACCCCTCCGCGCTGCAGGCTTTCAACGGCCTTTTCGAAACCACGGTCCGAGCCGCATAGCGGCCAACATCCGCCCCTACCGGTAGGCATGACCCCCACAGGCGAGAAAACGGCCCGACCGACCTCGGTCAGGAGATCGTTGGAGTTGTCATGCGACAAAGAATTCCAAAGGCTTTGTCGGGCAGACGCTGCTCGGCAGACGCTGCTGGGCAGACGCGGCATGTCGCGGCATGTCCAGGAATTCCGGGAGTCTGGGTTAGGCAGGAAGGCTAACTCGCATTGGTGAAGACAGGTTGACGGGTCACGATTTTTCCATGATGAGTCTCCCCTTCTTTGCGGTGTTTGGGGTCTGGTATCCATCGAACTCCCACTTCAACTCTCAAAGAAACCATGATCAGAATCAAAACGGCTCTTAGTCCACTCAATTCCGTTCCAACCGACCCCCCCAAGAACTCCTGTCCGAATGCCGCTTCCGAAGGCGGCTTCTGCCCTCGCGGTGCGGACGGCATCACGGCTCGGCATCACAGCTTGGCCAAGCGTTCGGCGGCCTTCAAGGGATGACGCCCGTCCACGTGGCCAATGAAGGGCGGGTGGATGGAATAGCCTGAGCGCGACCAACGAGCTCCCCTCCGGTACAGCTCACCGGATGATGACTGGAGAGTGGAGTGGCGGACAAGGAGACGGACGTGGAGACGAAGCACGTGGATGCGAGTGGGGGAGTTTTCACCGCGTGAAAGGTCAGTCTGTGCGAAAAGAAAGAGCGGATGAATGGGAGAGGATTGGGGGAAGGTCAGCTAGGGGGACGCATGGCTTCTAAGATGTGAAAGGAAAGCATACAAAAGTCTGTGCCAATGCAGAAAGGAGGTGGAAGAGAGCGTAGAGTTTGCGGATGAACAAACCACAGTCTGGATTCCTTCTGACCGGATGACATGGGGGTCATTCCGGAGCTTAGAGCTGCGCTGTTCTCGTCCCGAAGACTCACCCCTTAACTGGTCTTGACATCGATTGGAGCTGCTGAACGTTTCGACATGACCTGTCTTGGGACTGCCTTTGTTTGTGGATCAGTTGGGATGGTTCCATGGAGTGTTGGTAGTAGAACAGTCGATTTGAAACCAGCTCTGGAACTCCCAAAAGGGCCTTGCAGTGACTCAGTGATCATGCCACTTCGTCACTTCTTCAGCTGTCCAAGGATTTGAGGGTTTGGATCCCTAAAAGGGAAACCATACCAAACTGTCCACCTCATGCCTAGTGGAAATATCAATCCCCCAAAAGGCTATCCGGCAATGGACTGGGTAGGCTATGGTTGGCTGAGTGTTGCAAATTCCAAAAATGGAACATAACACAAACAGAAACATCTTTGGGGGAGCCATCGCTCCGCCATCGCTCCCTGGGTTGACCAAAGAAAAAACGACCAAAGTGGACGAGCTGACTCTAGTGGTGGTCAACCTACCAGGGCTTGCCATGACCCACAGCCATGACTAGCTTCCTCCAAGCACTTCCACCCATGGAACCATAGCTTCCAGGCCACCCGCCATGCTCTGAATCTCCGGCGGCAACCGGCTCACCTGGCGGGTCAGTTGGGTCGTGGTCGGAGACCTCACGTGGTCAGTTGGACTGGAAGAGTTGCAGAGCACCCAGGGCGATAAAAGGGATGTCTTTAGCCATCTTAGAGCCCCTTGAGATGATCAAAAGTGTATCTCTGTGCAGGAAAGCCCTGTGCAGGAAAGAATGCAAAGGCTTGAAAGCAACACCTGGTGGTGTGTATTCTTCTGTGAGAGCGCAAGAGTAGCACCGAAAGCCATTTGGCAGGCTTGTTTTGAAGTGAACAGCAACATCCAAGTGCAGCAAGCAGCCCATATCATGTGTTTCTTCTCAGTTTCCAAGAACCGCATGACCTAGAAGTACAAGGACCTCGGGTTCACATCTAGGTGCCATGTATGCTGCTTGTGTATGCCCAGAGCCAGGTGGTCTAGCGATGTCAAGGAACTCCAGCCAAACTTGGTATGTGGATCGGAGGAGCATGGAGCGGAGCATGTATTACTTCTACTTCTATGATGGGTGAAATGATACCTTGTCATGGCCAGAAGAGGTCGCTTTCCCACGCTGTTGAAGACATTGAAACACTGTAGATTCTATAGATGATATGCATTTGCAGAACTAGAAACCCCAATGGACCATACATATTGACCTGCTGTGGCTTGGGATGCCCAAAAGCCGACACATGTGAGAACATGCTGGGGCATGCTCGGATGTTCTCTATGTCAGGAATATTTGGTTTAATCGTATATATACTATTGGACTCAGACTTGATCTTGGGAATGGTCTTTGCTCAGGGGGCTTGAAATATTCAATGCAAAGGCCTTGTCAACATCCATGAAATTCCATGAAAAGCTGGAAGCATGCTTCTGAGACCAAGCCTGGCTGGCAAGCAAAACCAAGATCTTCAAATCCGGAAAAGAAACACCTTTGTTTCAAGTTTCATAGCGTTTCGAGGCTTCCTCGTTTTGTGGCGCATATCCAACCACTGATCTGCACATCCGTTTTCCAGGGGTACAGAACCCGCCCCCCCACAGGTGTGGCCTGATCGAAGGGTAAGGAGAGCATCATGTTCTCTTGTGTGCGCACCCAAGGCTGACAGTACTGCGCAGTGAAGGCACATCGATTGGTGTCGGTGCTCTTGTTGGCACCTGCCAGACGAGCTCCGAGCGGTTTTGGGGGTCGGTCCTGTTCTGTGATTGGTCTTGCCAAAGATCTTCCAAACAGCCCGACCCGGTGCTTAAAACCGGGATTTGAGACCCCAAACCATCCGTGAGTGTGGTAGGACATGTTCAGGATGAAGCAAATGCCCAGCTAATTATCGGGTGCAGCAGCTTGGCCGACCCACAAGCTGCGTGGGCAGGGCAGCAGCATTGAAAGGAAAAGAAGGAGAAGTCACGTGCCCAAGTGATCAGCTTGAGCGCATGACACAAGCTGAAGTCTGGGACTCTTAAAACATGAATTCTTCATCGCTTGTCAACTCCTTCTTACCACCAGGCCCGGGGCCGCGAAGGAATCATTCAACCATGCGGCCGTGCGTAAAGACACCGCGGCGCGGTTCCAATTGCTGCAATGGTTGGTGGATACAGTAGATCAATAATCAACGGTTGACATTACTCTATATATAATATGTGTTATTGTCATAGTGCATTATACATCATTATACTATAGTACTATATAACTATATTATATAAAGACTTCAGTACAAAGTTCTGATGGCAAACGCTTCCACCAATGACTTGTTGCTGAAATCCGAGAAACACGATGATGGGACCTGGATCATATAAATTGTTTCAACACAAACTGAAAGCAAACCATGTCTGGCTCAAACTCTAGAGTTTTGACCCAGGACCCGGACCGTATCGCAATACTTGGACGGTATAGCAAGGACCCAAACTCTGATCATGGTCAGACGAGCTGTATGTATCTCCAAAAAGTCGCCTCAAATCCCCTTGGTACATGGAGCCGAAGTCAAGATCACCGATCACTATCGATCACCGATCACGAAGACGCCTCCGCCGTGCCACAAGGTGCCCGAAAAGAAGACGCAGCTACCGATCGGCAACTCCTTAGGCGAAGGCAAGGCAGGGTCGTTCTTCCAACCAACGAAACAGCTCGAGATGGCAGTGGATTCGACACGAACCGAACACATCACATACCTAGATCCTCCCTAGGCGAAAATTTCCGCCTAAGTTCATTTCTGCAGGCAAGAACGCCTGTTTTGGTCAAGAACGCCTAAGCTGCAGCCTCGAGGGTCAAGAACGCCTAAGTTGCATTTTTACATATTTTGACATGTTTCTCTCACGCATAAGTTAAAACCAGAATGGAAAAGGTTCTTGAAAGAAACGCCCCCCACCAAACATAGGGGCCGCACTCTCCACATTTTCCTGCTGATGGCATGGCTGCTGATGACACAGGAGCGTGGAGCCCCAGATTTGGTGCTTGAATCCCAACTACAGGAAAGGACCAATGAACCTGCAGAGTTGGAGCTAGAGTTGAAGGAAAACAACTTTGTTCAATCCGCTTTGGCCCCACGCCTCAAGTTAAACCGCCTTAGCAGCGCTTTCTTCTTTAAGAAGTGGCGCTCCAAAATCCTACGCGTGATATGCCTCGAGTCAAGGCCACGGCTAAGTTTTGATAGCCGCCCCACTGTATCTTCATTTTGTTCGTTGGCATGGGCCAATGGGTTTAACACCAGGTTGGACCCACAGCGTAATGAAGCTTGGAGCGATTGCGCCACATGGGCAAAAGCGTGGAATTTGGGTTTCAGTTTGAAACCTGGTCTATTCATGTCTTTCTTTTTTTTGGCTAGTGTCTTGTAGGCTCTCAAAACGACTTTCACACAAGTGCAGAGATATTCAGCACACACCCGTGGAAGCCATAACCCATGTTTGTGCAAAATGCTGAAGGCGTCCAATGATTTGTCAGCAGCATAATTAAAGATCCTCAGGAACTCAAGGTGTGGCCGCGAGACATCTTCTGGAGATTCCAAGTGAATCTTAGTCAGCCACTTCAAGAACCGCAGGACCATCATGGAGTCAGATCCTTTACTGTTCATCCATGGGTAACTTCGTTTCTGCGATTTTATGTTGAAGAACCGCTTGTTGAAGCTCCTCAAACCAGGTGTGGAACCTGTGGTTTCACACCAAAGGCGAAAGAGCCGGTGGGCTCGGCCGAGCCGATCATCCAGCTTTTGGTTGTCGCCAGGGGTGTCCTTGGTCGTGTGCGCTGGGAGGTTGGTTGGGCCGCAGTCACAGGACGTTAGAAGGGGCTAACTGACCCAAAATTTCAAAAAATGAAGTAGTTCTGGTAATTGCTGTGTCAGGCAAGAAACAAAGAACTTGAGGTATGCAAGGGCAGTCAGCATGCTGCCAGTGAGATCTCTACACATTCCCACTTTAAATATGTGGAAACAATCCGGAACAAAAAGCCGTTCGGGATAGGTCGAGTCGTACCCGGCAGAACAAATCGACGGTTCCTGCGTCCATGGGCGTGTGGCCCATAGCGTCCTTGCCCAAACAGGATTGTCGGTGGTTTGCTCAAAAGGTACGTTGGGCGCACCGGCGTGACACCAGCTGCACATCATTCCAGCATTGACTTTGTGGTAAGACCGCTCTATGCCCATGCTCACCATGTGCTTCATGTCCCCCTTGACGGCGACCGGCAACCAGCGCTGCAAAGTATGTCTCGTTCCCTACTTGGACACCTCGCGTAAATAGGTTTCGAAGGTCCACAGTCAACGCATCTAAATGTTTGTTGACAACATCCTCTCTGCCTTCCGCTTTATAGAGCCAGTGCGGGAGGCCAAACAAAAAATGCCTGGTCAAATAAGAATGGCCGCTGTAATTTGTCATTTGCCTTTTGGCTCGATCCAGCAGATCAGCCGGTACATCCCTCTTTTCAGCCGCACAACGGCCAACACCGGAGACAGGGGAGGCGCGGAGTTTCTCACAGCAGTCACAAGTAAAATCTGCAGGAAGGTCGTCCAACCCGATCAAGGACTCCATGGACCACACCAGAAAGTTTCCTCGTTTTGATCCTCGGCCCTCGTCTCCAAAAACAGCTAGCGGGATGGTCCGCCCCAAATCGTTCCCACGTTGTGTAAACACGTCGTGAGATTCATGGCTTTGCCTGTATAGGTTCCAAAAAGCGGTGAGCTGCAAAGTGGCATCCACGCAATTGCCCAACACACATTTCGGAAACTTCTTCAACAAAACCTGGAGCCAATCGCTTGGCTTCACCCAATGTGTCCAGAACGGCTCTCCATCTGGTGTGGCATGCTCTCGTGCAGTGATACGCACAGGCAAAGAGAGATTGAGGGCCCTAAAACGAGCGTGAAGCTTTCTGGAAGCATTCTTGGGCACTTTGTCGTACAAGTTCATGTCTGTTTGTTCCTCTCTCGCTCTTTTTCCAGCGGCCCTGAGGGCTAGCTCGGTGTTCGTGGCATTGACCTGGGCAAAAACATAGTGCAGGGAAGAACTAGTTGCCCTGATTCAACATAACAACATGATAACACCATGCTGTTATTTGAAGTGAACACGTACAGGTACTAGCTTTCATGCCGAAACGACATCGGACAAACTCTTCGTGGTTTGATATAAAAAGGTTCACGACTACTAGCGTGGTTGTCAACTTGCTAGCAGTGACATGCATACCACTTTCCCCCACATGTGGCCCTGCGGAAAACAAACCACACCGCAAATACCACACAGAAGTTAATTGGGAGTAACTGGCAGAAACAACAAAGGCGCACGGCGGTGATGGGGCGTGACACCTAAAGTAAGGGGAAGAAACACAGAAAGATAAAGAAGTAAGAAGTAACATCAGCAAAAAGGACAATAACCAGTAGAAAAAGAAAACACATGTAAGAACAGAACAAAAGGACATAGTTGTTTAGTTTTCTCTCTTGAGCACATGAATCCCCAAATGACAGGTTCCTGGTAGAGCCAAGGCCCTGGCACCATCCCCAAGAGACTCAGCCAGTTGGCGCTCCAAAGGGTCAGCCAACTCTTCATCAGATCCTGGCATGGGGGTGGATAGGCCTTGTGAACGGCAGGGCGAACAAGTAAAAGAACTCTTTGGGAGAAATTTGCGTTTCTTTCCATCAGCAACCCCTGGAAGTAGGCAGCGCGTTGCCAAACACAGGGTCTGTAGTAGGCAGCACAGTGCCAAACACGGATTCAGGCCCCCATTCAAAATTACCAGCAGCGTTTCAGCTGCTAGGACAAACCCCCTATGTGGGCATCAAACGGAAAAAGAACTTCAATTGGTCTTTGATTTCTTTGAAGACCTTGCGTCAGCCTTTGCCTCCGCTCTCTTCTTAAGAGCAGCGGACTTGGCCTTTGACTCAGGTATGGTCTTCACTGACTTCGCCTTTGGCGCAGCTCGGCCGGATAGCGCCAACCTCGAGCACAAAGGGTTGCACCCACCAATAGTTTTAGTTGGGAGCTCTTTCAAGGAGAGCCGGGAAAGTCATTGGGCTAGGAATGCAAAGCCAATTGAGATTCATTTGAGTCTCCCACTTCATGCGGCCATCGATGCACAAGGACTCCAAGGCCCTGAGTCAAGTGAAGAAATGAAGGAACCACTTGGTTAAATCAGCAACTACGTTTCCCCTATTGAGGTTGAAACAGCTTCTTGCTGGACTCCATCTTGTCTCGGAAGGTCTTGTTCTGCCTGAGTCCATTCCGGAACCCCTCACTACAATAAACCGGATAGAACCCCTCCAGTCCAAACAGATAGATGACTAGACTCGAGCTGTGATTTTGGGTTGAGGAGCTCCTTGGAAAAACCTTTGACCACACCCTCGGTGTAGATTTCGCTCATCTCTGAGTCAACTTTCTCAAGCTTGGCAATCAAATCTTGGATTTTGGTCACAAGCCTCAAAAGGGATTGTTTGCGCAGGCGCAGGAAAGAGGGAGGGACAACTGCATGTGTTTCTCATTCCCCCAGAACTAGTCAAGTAGCTGTTTTTGAATCTCGGTGGTCGCCGTAACAGTAACAAGCTTAGATTTGTGCTCCGTGAGCTTTACGACACGCTTTTGGATAGCCGCTGTAACTTTCGTAAAAAGCTGGGCAGGTTGAGCATCCTTCTCAATAGTCGGAAAGTTCAACTTCTTCATGAGAGATTGGGCTTCTTCACCATCATCGGTGGAATCCGAGTCGTCATTGCCTGATCTAAGGGGTATTTGACATGAGTTGGAACAGGGATAACCTCAGATCAAAACCATGATTCTAAAGCAAATGCATTTTAAGTCACCACCAGTTTCCTCGGGTGGAAATTCACCATCGGAAAGAGGCTTCCCAACGTCCTGGTCATCCTCTGCAAGCTCATCCTCCACGATCTTCTCGAGGATCTGGCGTTTGGTCTTCCTGAAGCAACCAACGGGCCCCTGCACCCCAAAAACTCAGCACCAAGTAAATGTCCAAACTCAGGAAAGGAATGGCCAACCACAATAGCTTTCGAGCGAACTGCCAAAGAGCTCCCAGGCAAGCTGGGTGAGAAGAGAAAGACTTGATGGATGCTGCCTGGCAAAGCCAAGTCTCTTCTTTTGACCTTTTTCATTGACAAGCGCCCAGTAGAGCATGCCCTCTCCGTAGATGCTTTTCCTGGCCGGCCACGTGCCACCCCCGAACCCCCAAGGCCCACACACCAAAGCCACACGTTTGTTTGCATGTACATGGATGAGATTGGGGAAGTTTGATTCATGGGGAGTGGTTCATGAAATCTTGTTAGTTGAGCTTCCCCTGACAAATCCCAGACAATGACTTCAGCCTGCCTCCGGAAAGATGGCCTGGTTGAACAGTGGCGAATCACTCCAGCAATCTTTTTCCTGAGGCAAGACTTCACGAACCCCCACCCCAGACGACCACTTGGAGCTTAACCCTCACCCAGCCAAGAAAGGCCAACAGACCATAAAAGACAAATTTTGGAGGTGGCCTTGCACAGCCGTTTTAGAAGGTTTTGGGGGGTTGAAAGGCCACCTTCCAAAATTGTGTTTTAGGGTCTGTCGGCTCGTGTTGTAGTGCAACCGAACCACTCGCTCCAGCCCAAAGCCTTCATATCCT